GGGTAGCCCTACACAGTCTGATTTGGGAACATGGGGCCATAAGCTCGGGTAACTCAGTCTCTGAGAAAAGCACCTAACAGGAGGCCATGAGAACCTGTCCGTATCCACCCTGCTTCACCCTACAGCTTCCTCAACCTTCTGCCTGCACCCACTCACGCTGCCTTGCATGTGAGCAATTGGCCTCAGGGCGTCTGACTGTGGCCACATCCACACTGGGAGCTTGGGGTGTACTTCCCCAGCTCGCTCGCAGCAGCTCGATGAGAACTAGCACCAATACAGAGTCGTGTGACGGTCCCCATGGTAGCATGGGCAGTGGCAAGCCACACGGGGTACAAACACTCCTGACAATGGTGAGTATCCACTTGGCACAGCTAAGCCATGCCGCCACCTCCCTGCCCCCCTTTCTTGCCAAAGAAGGGCTGCTTGAGAGGGGATGGCCCATTCGCTTTGCTGACACCTGGCTGTGGTGTCCGATTTCCCTTTGTCTTTGAGAAACTGGTTTAGCCCCTCCCCAGACTTATCTGGGAAACCGCTTCAGTCATGGGTTTAGCTTATGTTCATGGCTTCACACGTGACATTGCTCCATACGTTTTGCCCTGATATTACCGATCAGCAAGTTATGCATTTTCAAATGATCCCTCAGAAGGCATGCCTTGTACACCGATTATTACAGTGTGTCTAGGGTGTGAATACAGGTGCATTCTGTCACACCTCCCCCCAGAGAAAGCAACATCAGGGGACCTGCTGGCTGACCTAGAGGCAACAGGTCGGGGCCCTCTCTCCTGGACAGCGCATCTGCCACCATGTTTTCTTTTCCCTTGATATGCACAGTTTCCGTATCAAATTCATAGTGTAAGATCCAACGCAGAAGCTTGGAGTTGGAGGCTTTAGGTTTGTGCAGCCAGATGAATGGAGAATGATCTGTTAATACCCTGAACTCTCTTTGACAAGATAGGGCTGTAACTGCTTTACTGCCCACACAATGGCATAACATTCTTTCTCTATGACAGAATAATTTTGTGCAGTGGGTGTCAATTTCTTGCTTAAGAAAGCAATGGGGTGTTTTTCATTCTTCCCAGACTGCCTTAATACAGCCCCTAAACCAGTGTCTGATGCATCCTTGCACAGTTCAAACATGTTGTCAAAATCTGGGCTAGCTAAACCAGGCTTTTCAGACAAGATTTTTCTTTACCGTATCAAACTACTCTTGACATGCCTTTGTGCATACAGCTTCATTAGGCTTTGTCTTTTCACATGGATTTGTCATTGCAGACATGAGGTCACGGAACCCACACACAAACCTTCTGTCACAGCTTATAACACCAGACCTATGAAAGATTGGACCTGCTTCTTTGTTTGGGGCACAGGCCCATTCACTATGGCTTCAACTTTGAAGGGCTCTGGGGATATTTGATCTCCCCTACCCAGTGTCCCAAATAAGGAATTCCGGCAGGTCAAGTTTTACACCTAGAGGCTTCTGCAATTAGGTGTGTTTTGTGATCAGCCCAAGTGTTGCTAACCACTGCTGTACCATCAACACAGGCTCTTGCAAAGTCCTGCAAACTGTTTAACACTTGGTTGACCAGCCTCTGAAAGGTGGCTCCTGCATTAATTAACCCAAATGCTAATGTTGTGAATCCATAGAGACCCATATCAGTGATGAAAGCAGATTTTTTTTCTGTGCATCCTCATCTAAAGGAATCTGCCAGTTTCTGTTAACCAAATCAAAAGAGCTGAGATATTTAGCTTTGCTTAAGATACCCACCATATCCTCAATTCTATGCATAGGATAAGCACCTGGTATTGTGACAGCACTGAGTTTTCTGTAATCGGCGCAAAACCTTACAGTGTTGTCTTTCGTAGGGCCCAAGACCACAGGTGATGCCAAGAACTATCAGACTCTTTAATTACTCCCAGGTATAACGTGCTCTGTGTTTCTGCTCTTGCACCTTGCCACGGGCCCTGCAGGGTCTGCTTTGGTCCTTCGGTGACGATTTTGTGGGTGAGCAAGTATGCCTTCCCTGGCTTGCTAGAAAACACTTCTTTGTGCTTTTGCAACACAGACAACACCTCTGCCTTTTCAGCTGGTGTTAACGCATTGCAGATATCATTGCTTTCCAGAGACCAAGTCAGTTTGGCATTCAGCCATCAAATCAATGAGGTGGTGTGTGCCTCAGTTTCCCCTTCTGCACAGCAGATCATGTTTACACATGGCTTCCCATCTGGGATAGGCTGTAAGTCTGTTTACATGCACCAGCTGTGGGACAGAATTCCCAGGAGGCTTTTTCCCACGGTCTGTATCTTCATTCACTTCTGTCACCTCAAAAGGTCCTGCCCAATTTTTTTGCATTTTGTATTTTTTTGCTGGGCTTAGGACTAACACCCAGTCTCCTATTTCAAAAGAGTGTTTCCAAGTATGTTTCTCGTACCCTGCCGTTTGTCTGGCCTGACCATCAGTGAGGTTAGACGCATCGTGTCCTTTAACTCTTTTTCTGAACCTTTGCACGTATTCAGCTACTGGCTCTCCTTCTGCCGCCATGTCCCCTTCCCAGGCGTCTGTGATGAGATCTAGGGGTCCCCTCACGTTCCTTCTCTATAGGCGATCACAAGAGGAGAACCCAGTTGATTCTTGGGGTACCTCCTGGAAGCAAACAGCAAATATAGTAGCAACTCATCCCAATCTTGGACCCTCTTATTCGCATACATTCCCAGCCTAGATTTTAGGGTCCCGCCTGGACACATGGAGACAAGTCTCTCGCCTTACACTTAGCTTGTAGCTGTCCAGGGCAGGGACCAAATCCTTGTATGTTTGTCTAGCACCCTGCACAATGGGGCCCTAATCCCTGATGGAGAGTACTCAGCACTACAATAACACAAGTGGTAATTCAAGGCAAGTTAAGCCTCGCATGCCCAGAGGGATTTGGCACAGTGCTTGTAATCACAATGCTCATACTCACAAACTTTTTGTCTGTTTTGTTTCCAGCAGCCAATCAAGAGAAGGAAAAAGATCCTTTCAACTATGGTGAGCATCAGAGTCCTTAGTGGTATGCATATGGATCAGTGTGCACAGTATATACCCTCGTAGTACTAAAAGAAGTGTTTGTGTGTGTGTGTGTGTGTGTGACTTGACCACGTTTGTCTGAACACTGCAGCCCACTTGGAAATGAAAACTTCCCTTGCCTTTTCCCCCCTAGATTACCAGAGTTTGAGGATCGGCGGTTTGGTGTTCGCCGTGGTCTTGTTTTCTGTTGGAATTCTCCTTATACTCAGTAAGTTGGCGAGGGCTGAGTCAGCGGCCCAGTGAGATAGCAGAAAGAACCTCCTGGCTAAGAACTGGCTGCCCAGGGACGGACCTAGGATCTCAGGACTGTGCTCCAGTGGCTAGTCTATGCCATCTCCCCGAGCTGGAAATAGCCCTGCCAGCTGCAGTATAGACGGATCTTCGTGTAAATGGGAAAATCAACGCACTTTGAGGGCCACGTTTCTGCTGAAGGGCCCTTGTACCCCTCTCAAAGCACTGCCGGGCCTACACTCTTCCCCTGTCCCCCCTCCCCTTCCCCAGTGGGATTCTGCACACTCAGACGCCTCAGCGTTTATTTTGAGTGCTATTTCAGACCACGCAGGAGGTGACTTTCTAACCTGTGGCGTGGCTGTGTCCTTTCCCGCACACGAAAGAGCTCTGCGGCGTCCCCCTGCCCTGTCATTCATCGCCGCTGCGTGAGATGCTGTAACGCTTCTGGGAATCCCGCAGATCCATAGCGTCCCTGTAAACGCAGCACTGCGAACCGTGGACCCACTGCCAGGGGCCTCGGAAGCTCCGGGGTAGTGAAGTTCTTGGGGAAGCACCGCTGGTGCACTGGGGGTGAATGGCTACAACCTATTCCAAAGGGAGGGTTTCTCTCATACGCTCACGATATTTTCTTACTCTTCCAGGCCGGAGGTGCAGATGCAGCTTCAACCAAAAGCCCAGGTACGCGTGCGAGTGGTGGTTAGCTGGTAGACGCTTTCTGCCTGGAATTGGAACCCTCTTTAGAGTCCTGACCCATAAATAAATCCGTAGATACATAGCCGCCGGGACAACATTCCCGCTAAATAAGGATCCCCACTCTGTGCTGCTTCCACAGCCAAAGAGCGTGCCACGAGGTTCCTTGAGTAGCAAGGGCAGGATGTCTGCTTGGGGAGGTTACCCCAGTGGGGGCACAGCTGTCTGGGGTGCACTTCCCAAGGGCCAGGACTCAGGATATTAGCCAAGCAGGAGAGTCCTAGTGCAGTCACCAGCCTCGTCTGCCTGGGGGACACTTTTCCTTGCATGTTCTGATGGCTGTTCTCCTAGGGAACCTGCCAATTCAGTGGAGGTTGTAGGCCCCTGTGATAGCACATCCGGGAGCCCGGCATGCAGTCCCCTTGGCCCCACCAGCCAGCGCATTGCAGGGTGGTGCAGTGGTGTGCCGGGGGCTCGATGGGAGCCTGCTTTATTTCATATAGGGCCCTGCAAAGCCCAGAGGGGCTGGTGCAAACTTAGGCTAATCAAGAGAGCCAGCCACTGTACAACGGATCCTCTTCTCCCCACACCTCCCTCCAACAGACTGAGAGCATCTCCTGCCCCAGTGCTCTGAGAGCTCACAGCCGCCCCTGACCGCTGCTCTGTAGCCCCCATAGCTCCGTGTTGCTGTGGCTCCCACCCATGCCAGCTCCCGCCCTGGGTTATGGATGAGAGTCCATGTTTCTTCACTGGAGTGCGTTTGGGTCATGAGACCGAGGGCCTAATCTGAACAGGCATTGAGCATGCATAGCCCTCCTGGTCTCTGTGCTCAGCCCCTCCCAGCATCAGGCACTCCGTTAGCAGTGTCCAAGCTCCGGCTCTGTGCACTGGCAAGGGGGTAGCGCCTCGCAGTTCTCACTGTGCATCTCTTGTTGCAGAGCCCCTGGGGATGAGGAGGCTCAGGTGGAGAACTTGATTGCCTCAAACGGTAAGGACCATGTTCTCTTGCTGCACGCACGTTGTGTTTTACTGAAAGATGGCATGGAGCTGGGCAGGCGGCTGAGGCCGCTTGGTTGAGCTTTTAAAGACGTTTTGCCATTTTCTTTGCAGCAACAGGGGCACAAAAAGCAGAGAACTGAACTAGAGCCATCAGGTGAGTCACACCCAGCTTTTCGTATGTGCTGCTTCTCCGTGCCGGGCGGGGTTAATGGCAGCCGCGCCTGGGGCTGAGGTCAGAGCCTCGCTAGATGTTAGCAGGGATAGTGTGGGGCAGGGGTGCGGTTTGTACAGAGCAGGGAGCACAGGACTCCAGCACAGATCAGGGGGTTACATGTTACTCGGTTGTGCTACAGTATCGGGTCCATTCCAGGATCCAGCCCCTGAGGCCTGTACTCAAACAAAGTCCCAGAGCGGCGCCTGCGGAAAAACCCGAGGGCCCGATTCTGGTCTCCCGTGCATGTGTGTGAATCCACCGAAGGTGAGACTGATGGGCGTGAGAGCCGAACAGGGTCTGACATGGCGCTCAGGATCCGGCCCTGGGGCTGGGATGCAGGCGTCCTGTTGTCACTCAGATCCGGTCTGCGGCGGAAGGGGGAGGTGGAAGGGAGGTGCACAGGCAGCCTCCCAAAGGGCTGGTTTGCAGCAGTGTGATTTGTGAACGATAAAGCCACGCACGTGCAATCTCTCCGGAGCACAGCAACACGTCGGATTGTCGGTGTAACCTGCCGTGGCTCTCCCCACCTCTGCGCTGCCCGGGCAGGACTGATACTTTACATTCCTCAAGCCGGAGCTCCCTGGTGTTCATGTCTCTGTCCCTTCCTGACCTTCATCCTCAACACCATGCAAGTCATAAGGCCACTGGGTACAGGGGGGCTAGCTGGTGGGTTTCCCTTCTCTAGGAGCTCTACTTTACTGATGCTCCTCCTACTTTAGAGGCATTGTCTTTCTGGAGACTTTGGGTGTTCACTGTACGCTCTGCATGCGGCTTGGTGGATCAGTTACGCTGCAGGTGGTGCTTTGCTACCAGGGAAAGGTGCTTTGTGCCTCTGGTAAACTGGGTGCTTAGAATTAATGGCTCCAGGGGCCATGTTGTTAAGATCTGTGGCCCTTCTGCTGGGGCTGTTTATTTGGACGTTGAGTTCTAGTTGGCTAAGTTGGGATGGAACCTCAAATACCAGGATGGGTCTTGTGGGCTCTCTTAAGACATTACAAACCCTGCAAAACCAGGCACTTATCCTGGTAACTTGACTTACATTTCCTTGCTTCCCCCTGCTGGTGTCCTGCTGCGCATGCTGCTCCGTCCATATTTCCTAGTGGTTCTATGCAGAGCTGGGTGAATTTGCGAAGCACAATTTATCGGATTCATTTCCCCTCTTTCTCTGCTCAGGGACTCCCCGCTCCCAGATGGAGTTTTCCTTGAATGTTTTTGTTGCAGTGATGTTTTCTTAAAGTGATGGGTAGATTGCGAACCCCTGTCTGAGAGTGTTCACTCTCCTGCTCTGTTGGGTAGTGGGAACGGGTCGGGCAGGTCAATGCCATTGTGCCTGTTCTCGGATTGCATAAGTGCAGATGTGAAAATGTGGCACCAAAATACAGGATTTTTAAAAAGAAAAATGTAAATTTGGGTCCCAGAAGTGTCTGCTGGAGCGAACAAGCATGTGCTCTAGTTAATCTTTGCCAGACAAAGCAAGTGCAATCTGCAATGCTTGGCTTTTTCTTAGTGTCTCCTCTGCTTTCTTCCCTGATGAGGGGTTGAGTAGCAGGAGCCAGACTGACTCAGTGTCCTCCCTTCTCACAGATCAGAGACCTGAGGACAGACACTTGGACCACAAATGCAAGCGACCTGCAAGAAAGCGAGAATGACAGCAACAGGTCCTCCTAAGGAGACGCAAAGAAGCTGTGTCTGTGTTACCCTCTGTACTTTAATACTGGTTCTCTATATAACAACCTAACTAAACTCCACGCGCGGTACTGTCTGCCTACAGTAATGTGTAATGTTCATGTATAACGACCATCGCCATTAAGGCTAGCTGTTGACGATGTTGTATTAGTAAGTTTCTCTTCATTTTTCTAGTGCTGTTGAGTGGTGCGTGGCTGTGTGAGAATGACAGGATGTGCTCCCCGTGGCACTTTGCTCGGCACCATATTGGGGGCGTGGTTCTTTGTCCTTTCTGTGGGGAAGGGGAAGTTTTTGGGTGGCTGCCTCTCAGACCTGGGAGCATGGATCATACGCCACACTGCAAACTAAGGAAGGGATTGTCCCACCTGAGTCCTGGGACGAGTGGAGTCCTGCTCTTTAGTGTTTGTAAAGCACCGTGTGCATTGATGGTGCGCTGTAGATAGCTAATAACAATAGTGTTTATTGGATCTCTTGACTCCGAAAGCAAGAGCCTGGTGGTGCATGGAGCCGAGTCTGCTTCGTGCTCCGATCCGGGCACAGCACTCGGGTTTTAGCCACCCAGAACCCTAGGGATTTAAATGGTTGGCCAGCATGCTGCCTCTGGCTCTGCCCCCAAACATCAGCGGTTGGAGGCGCCCAGAGGAATCAGCCACTGTAGGGAGGAGCTTTTCCTTGTGTGGCTCTTGCACTGGGGCTGGGAGGGGGGTGTTATTTTCACATCTGGGCTGATTGTGTTTTATTCTCTTGGTGGGGCAGGAAATCTGTTAGAACAGGAGATGGGTCCAAACCAACCCCCGGCTCCAGACTCTGCGTGTTTGATGAGGGGAGGGCGGATCTGAATCTGAAGTCACATCCAGATTTCTAAGCTGGCCAAACCCCGAGCCCAGGCCCAGACTCCCTCCTGGGCTTTGGGGAGTTTGAAATCTGAATCCTGGCTCCCGGCTCAGGATCTGCTGAACTGGGGGCAGCGCAGCACCTGCAGCTCTAGTGAGAAACCCACGGCCAGTGGCACCGGTTCAGCCAGAGCTCAGCTAACGCCTCGTCCCAGTTGTGGCAGCCAGCCCCTGCAGCTCGTGCTTGTGCTGTGGATGGCTGGTGTGTGCGTGTGTGCAACACAAACGTTGCACGCTCAAAGCATTGCAAGCAGCAGGTTCTTATGATACAGTGTTTTTTTTAGTTTTAGATGGGGCTTCGGGGATCACTTCAGTTTTGTTTTGGTGAAATTGAATCTGCAGATAAAATACAACACAGTACAGCTGGAAGAGACCCTTGGGGAGCAGATCGCAGTTGCATTTTGCAGTATCAGCCATAACCATCATGCGCCCCTGGAGCACGGCCTCAAGGGCCCTTGCTGGTGAGGAGAAAGCAGAAAAGCCAATTGCTTTCAATTCTCAGACCGCACCTTCATGCCGGTTTAAACCCAAGAGAGCTCTCTTTGTAGTATGTGGCTTGTCACTGCAGCACCCTCCTCTCTGAGCTCGCGGCTAAAATCGCCTCCCCCCAGGAGACGTTCTTTTAAATGTGATCAAATGCTTTGGGGGAAGAGTCAGTGAAATGCCCCAGTCCAGTGACACTATGCAGGGAGTAATCCTGCTCCCCTCCTCCGTTCTGTGAGACTCTGCAGGGGTCGGGGAGGAGGTTAGACTGTCTGTGAGGTCTAAACAGGTCTTGTCTCAGAAATTGTCTCTGTTAAAGGGCCAATTCTTATTTGTCTAAGCCAGCAAAGGGATCCAGGGAGTACTGCAGGAGATTAAACGCAGCAGTACTTTACCGTGAGTGGCCACATCTTTGTTAATTCCTTTGCGGTTCCCTGTGGTGGGGTACAGGGGGTTGAGTCCTTGGCATTGACATCATGTGTAATTCCATAGCAGCTAGACATTGTCCGTATCCACTTGCTGTACAACACCCTCCTCTGCCTCTGCAGGGAAAATAGAGCCCTGAATGGTGCTGGGTGACCCTCCAGGGCTCGGAGGGCAGCTCGGATAGGATGGAGGCTGCCCCCGTGCAGGTGGGCGATGCACCACTTATTTCCTATGCTGCATTCAAGGTGCAACTAGGAGTTAAGTGTTGCCTGCCTCTGTGCTGGCCCAGGACACAGGGGGAATTTCCCCTCCAAAACTTCCCAAAGTCTGGTCACTTATCCAAACCTCTGAGCACCCAGGAGTAGGCCCATTTCTGCAGTCTTTCCTGGTAACTTATGCATTACAAGGGGCAAACTCATGCGGTCAGGTTACCTCGTAAGATTCCCGGTACTTGCCAGGCAGATGCACAAACCCAATGTGAGATAAAACAAGGGGAAAGAAATAAAATTACATTCAAGGGGGATGAAAATTTCAGAATGTCTGTGTAGGTCCAGATCCATTCCAGGGAGATTTAGGGAGAGACGGTCCAAATTTGATCCATCCCAGTTCTTCTGCCCTGGGCTCCAAGATGAGTGGGTAGGTGAGCAGAAGGAAGGTTTGTTTGGGATCCATGACTTCAGGACACAATATTTTGTTTTCCTCCCGTGGTGTGTGAGATGGGAAGCACCTCCTGTCCCGCAGTGTGAGGCAGAGTGAATGCGTGTTGTGTACCTCAGACCCTTATCTTTGTCCAACCTGTAGCAGGCAGTAATATGTTCTTTTTTTCTTGGTGGCATTCTACTGATCCAAACAGGCAAACAAGCAAAACCCCTCCCAGTCCGCCCCCTGAGTGTTAGCTGTACGTACACCATGAGTTCTATGTTCAGAGTGACTTCAGTGTCTGTAGTGTGCAGTCAGTATAAAAAAAAAAGTTAAAAATCGTATATGTAGAAAATGGCAAAATCTTGAATGTTGTAAAATAAAACCAACTGTTGTGTTTTCATTTTAAATCAGCAAACCTTGCTGCTGTGATAACGGACTGTTGTATTCTGTGTTGTGATCCAGAAGCTAAGGGGGGGGAAAGGAATAAAATATCATTTCTATCTTAGTGAGTCTCTAACTGTTTTGCCATACATAATGCAGGGATGTCTAAGGGGAGGACCAAATCCTTTTTCCCGAATGGAAGCGAAGCACCAGACCCATCTGGTAAGGGGTTTGGGGCATGGGGCGTCTTTTTGTTCTGTTTGCACTGTATCTAGCGCAGTGGGGTGCTGGTCCGTGACTGGGGCTCAGAGGTGTTATCACAATACAAATAATAAATACTATTACTCTTAACAATCATTCAAGTTCACAGCTACAACTTCCCAGGATGCAGTGCAAGCTTCCCCTGACCAAGCAGCATGGTGCATCATGGGAG